GAACGGTTGCCTCACAAATATTCGATCTAGGGCTTCCGATTTTGTGAAAACTGGCATCTCAGGGGCACAGAAACGCTTGGCGCATGTGGACGGGCCTTTTAGCCTAGTTCACGATACCCGAGTCCAACTGCTGTCATCTTGTCATCGTAGCCTGATGCATCAGGGGGGAATGCAGTAGACGCCGGGCAAGTTCCCTCCCTATTGACAAATTATTCGCAAGTTACCGATGCTGCTCCCACTCCGCGCAATGCATGCGGCGGGAGTCGTCATCGCTTGAACCCCTGTTGACCATGGCTGTACCATCAAATCGGGTAGCAGCGGATACAATTAACAAGATATAGTGGCTACTTACAAGATAGCAGTAGAAACTATATTGCAATCTCACCCAACACGTCAGACGCAGATCAAAATATCAGTACAAAGAGGCAGTTGAGACGAGATCACTGGGACACGGCTTCCAACAACAACTTTGGGAACGCAAGTCACGCCCTGATTAGCAGCTCAACAGTAAACTGTGGTGATGGAATTGTGGGGGTCAGCATCTAAGATGCAGTCGATTATCTACGACTGACGTGGAAGCCACCAATTGCAAGAAGTACATCGCAGCATGGCAACTGCGTGTTATAAATATTATACTCGTCCCGACTCCAGCATCTTTTATCTGTGGATATCCCTGCTGATGAGTTCGACTACGAATTCGAAATATCAGGCCCGTAAGATTCCTATTCCAACGGGCGCGTCTCCTCCGCTCTCGCGTTTGAAAGGCTAGTAAGTTTGCAACATCATCCCCATAGTCACTTCTACACGCCACTAACTGTGTTCAGTCTTCGTCAATTGCGCGCCCAAAATACACAGGAATGAAAGTATATGTATTTGTTTGTACATGACAGTTTATTAGGGGCTGCAAGGGGCAAGCAAGCGTAAACTGCCCGAGCAAAAAGACCGAACCTTTATCCCTAATACAATGGAGACAAGGAAAGGAAGTCACTTTGAGCAGATATTAAGAGTAAAAAAAACAATTAAATTATCCTCTGTGTAATTTTGCACAAGCAGAAGTAGCCAGCGATCAAGCAGACGGACAGGAAGCCTCATTTTGGGAAAACGCAGGGGGAGAGGAGGCCTCATGGGCGGAAACGTTCTCCTCGACTTCGGGTTCGCTAAAGATGTACTTCGCTGGTGAAATCCCCAGGACGACGTCACGGTCGATGACGACGCTCACAATGTTTGAGCCAGGCACATCATAGCGCGGTTGTAGGAGAATTCTTTCCTAAAATGGCGAAATACGGAAGCATGAGCTAACTATAGATGGGGGAAACGGAAATTTAAACAAAAGATGGGAAAGGGTTGGCGGCATTACGTGAACGGTCCATGTCGGGTATCAGAGTAATCAATTGACACGACAAACAATCGCCAGGGCCACAGTTTTCGAAATATACGATCTGGTCGATTTAATCGATACTGAAACTTTGAACTGCCGGTTTTTTACTGAGGCCTCAAAGTAACATTTTATGGCCTTTTATTTGAATGTTTTTAGAGAGTTGTTTCCAAGGAAGCGTGTCGCTACCACCGTGGGAAATAAGCATCGAAATGGAGTTTCTGGTTGTACAACTGGTGGCTAGATGACTGCTGGTCGCTGCTACAATTCGACAAGTACAGCATTTTAATTGAGGCAAAGCATCGTAAATAGTGAAAATGCACAAG